CATCCTTTGTCTTAGCGACCTTATCACTATTCAATGGAAAGTTTTGAAGAAATATAATCCACAGTGATAGGGTAAAAAAATGTCATATACACAAGGCAATCAATGTATACAAACAATCAAATTATGCTACCTACCATCAAGAAGGAGAGGCAACCACCAACGTATGATATTTTCTCCTTGTTAGTCAGAGCCTTCTTATAATCCTCAACCTCCCTTGTTAACTGCTTAAGAACAAATTCACTCTAACTATGTGAAGAGCTGCTTTCTCCTAACAAATCATCTTTACCAATTGTGAACTCACTTCTCTTATAGAAGGACACAATAATGTACCTAATATGTAGAGAACAAGCATGAGCTCAAGCATATCTTCTTCCTTATCTCTAATGATCTTGTTTTTTTTTTATCTTAGAAAACCTTAATCCAAGAAACTTTCCCTTCAATTCCTTGAACAACTCACTTTATGGATCAACTTCTTCCACTACCTCCCCTTCTTCGTTAGGTAAGCCCATTAGCATATGCATATCATTGGTATCTACTTGCTGGTTACTTCTCCATATTGATATTGTTCATGCTTTTAGGTTAGTAACTCTCAACAAATTTCCATATAGAGCATGATTTATCTACATACACTTAATGGGTAAATAATCTTTCTTCATATGCTTCATTGGATGAAGGCATACATGCTTTGTGCACCCTTTCCTCTTGAGCGATTTTGTTGAAGTAGGTCTTCTCTTGTTGTGACAATTTCTTCCAACCCACTATTGCAATTTCAGCAGGGTTTTACAGTATCTTCACCTTGCCTTTCTTTTTGAAGTTTTGCAGATACAAATGCAATCTACTTAGCCTCAAAGGACCATCAGTACCACCCCTAATCTGGACATACCATCGTCGTCTATCTATCCAAGGTGGTGGAGCTTCTCAAGTCTCAACATTTCAGGCTAGGGGCATCGAATGTGCCCTTCTTTAGTTCCACTTATAATGTTCCAACTTTTCAATTTCATTTTCTTTTTTCCTTGGATAATTGGTTTTTGCATAAAATAAGAAACATTTTGATATTTTAAAGTCCCCAAATGGTGAATATTTGTATTTCTCTACCATTTTGAACTCGGCTTAGATTTCTACTAGTTAATTCAATAGCCCATCAATATCAATAATATTATCAATTTTAATATATATATAATGGTTGCCCTCCCCCCTCTGGATTACCATGTGAATGTGTTCGTTTGGCACAAAACAAGTCATCTCTATTTGTTATTTTCCTTTTGTCAATATAAATACAACCTAAGCTGGTAAAAAAAATATAAAATGAAACCTAAGGGTATATTGGATTGCAAATAGTTGTAAAACAATATAGAAAAATGATAGAAAAATCCTCCTAAAATATATAAATGATAATAAGGTTATGTAAAATGTGATATTTTTTTCAAGACCTTTGGAACTTTTGTGACATTAATATATGTTATGAAATGACTATAATGACCCTGATTTAAAATATTAATGATTATTTTGATTTATATAATGACTATTTTACTTTTGATAATAACTAAAATGGGATAGTAAATGACAAGTTATCTTCTAAAAATGTTTTTAATTATTAAAGTTCAAGTATTATAAATATTAGTAACTATTTTAGTTTAAATAATAATTACTTTTTTTGCAATAATTAAAACAAAACAAGTAATTACATATTCCTTTTTGCAAATCTTTTAATTACTGAAATCCAAATATTATAAATATCAGTAATTACTTTAATTGAAATAATGACTATTTTTTTCTGTCAATGACTAGAACAAGATATCAAATGGTAAGTTCCTTTTTGCAAATTTTCTGATCACTTATCCATTTCTTTTTTTATTTTAAATTAGGAGCATTATATTTATTTAACAAAAGACATAAATGCCACAAAGGTTTCAAAAAACTTTTGAAGAATTATTATATTTCACAGGATTTCATTATCTTTTAAATATTTTAAGGAGATTTTTTTGTCATTTTCCAAAAAATATAGTTGTCATATCGTGAAATATATTTTGATGATAAATGATTGTCAGGTCAGTATTTTTTATTATTTAAATTAAGAGCACATTAGTCTTAAACTTCTACGCATCCCATTTAAACTATCAACAATTATTTTTTTAAAAAAAAAATCCCCAAAGAACAGACTAACGGAAAGTTGTCATTAAGGATTGGTAAAGAATTGATCAACATTTTTAATTAGCGTTGGTATTAGTGGAAACGGTTATGACTGGGGAAGTATGAAGACTCAAGTTCTAAGGGCCTATTTGGTTTTTATTCCCATTTTTATTTTTAAAAAATGTTTTATAATACAGTTTTTAAAATTATTAAAACAAAACAAAATGAAAATCTATTTGATTATATTAATTTAAAAATAATTTTAAAATTAAAAATAAATTAATATTGATGGTTATAATGGTTAACGGTGGTGAATTATGATAAAATTGGTGAAAGTAACTGTAATTTTTAATATCAAATGTAGTATATTTTAAAAATAAAAAAAATTTAAATAAAATAACTTGAGATTGTTTCTTTTTTTGTTTTAAAAAATAAAAGTTAAAATAGTTTTGAAAATAATTAAATGAAAAACACTTTTTCATACAAGTTTTAAAATTTTTCTGTTTCAAAAACAAAAAAAACAGTTTTCATAGAAATTTTTTTTTAAAATGTAAAAACAAACAGACCCTAATCCTCTGTTTGGATGGGAAAAAGTTAAAAGAAAAGAAAATGAGAGAAAAGAAAATGGAGAGAAGAGAAAACTGGAAAAAAAAATATCACCACTCCTTTTTGTTTGGATGGATAGGAGAAAATAGGGAGAAAAGAAAATGAACAGATATCATAATAACTATAATGTCCTTATATCAGAATATATCATGTTTCATGTAATTATATTTGTGAAAATAAATTAAAAGATAGAAATTATATTAAAATTAACATAATCAAATTAATTTAAAATCAATTATTTGTTAAAAATATATTTTTATATTATATTTTAAAATCAAATAATTAAAATTAAATTAATGTAATTCTAGACACTTGATCTAGCCAATGACTAAATTATTTAATTAATAGTTAAATTAATGTAATTCATAACTATAAAAGTTAAAAATTATAAACCAAACTGTTTAATTAAAATTAAATTAATAAAATTAAGTAGTCTCCTGAGAGTTAGAGCGCGAAATAAATAAGAGAGAGAGAGAGGATAGACGGTAAAAAAAAATTTTACTTTCAAAATCTCTCTACTTTTGGAGGAAAAAGTTGGAAGGAAAAAATAATGGGTCCTACACCTTATTTTTCTCTCACTTTTTCTTTTTTCTCATTTTTTATTTTCTATCCAAACAAAAAAAAAATCTGTTTTCTCTCCTGTTTTCTCACCATGTTTTCTTTCCTTCCATATTTTCTTCTCAATCAAACAGAGCATTTTTGAGGCATTTTCCTTCGTGCTGTCTCTCTCAAAATATCTTCATTCATACTACTTTTTTTTTTTTTCCAAACATTATTCAATCAATTAAACTTCCAAAATCTTCAGCTTGGTTCCTTTGGTGGTCTGTTCGATTGAAGTCTCTCATAAATGGTTAAAACAATGAATGCAAATGTTTTGAAAGGGGGACAATGAGAAATGACAACTTTAGTCCGACTATTAACTAATATGAAATAAAAAATGATTATTTCTTTCTTTGTTTTTTTTTGTAAATTTGTAATCTTATCCTATATATATAGTAAAATATGAAGTTTTTTCATTGTCCATGGAACAGTGAAAACAATAATATCATGGATCCGCCATTCTTTTTTTAAAATTCAATTTTTTTTGTTATGCTTATATTTTTTACTTTGTTAAAAATCAAAGCATGTTTGACTATGACTAATAATATCTAAATTTATTTTTATACTATATTTTTGAGATATAATATTAACATATTTTATATTTATATAATTTTTACATTATTCTTTAGTTTACTTCACAAGTAATAAGTTCAGAAATAAAATAAGGTGCCTATATTTTTAGCAAGCACAAAAGTAAAAAGAATATTATAAAAGATATAACAAATTTTTTTTATTCAAAAATATCTCCTCTTGGAAAAAAATTTAAAACACGGTTGGATATTCATGTGAGCACTTTTTTAATAGGATTAATTCCTTCTAATCTTCTACTATATCTATCTCTCATTCATAAAATAATAATAAATTGTTATTAAAATAATTTATTATATGTTTGGCGGCGTATGGATAATGAATCTTATTGGTGGGGGGTTTTTTTTTTTTAATATGCAGCAGTTTTTTCACATTTTTTTTTTTACGATCATAATCATTTTCACTTTGTTTAAAAACAGTTATAATATATTATGACCTATTAAAAATAGACAATATAATACATACAATATAGGACTCAAGTTTTATCAAGTCAGAACTTTACATAAAGATACATATTCATGTGAAGTAATTTTTAGAGACAAATAAAAAAACGAGTTAATTTCTTCTTAACCCTGTGTATCCCACGGGCCATTTTATAGTTTATAAATGAATAAAAAATAATTACTTCTGTTTTGAAAATGGTTATTTTAATTGTACTTAATTGATACATAAATTTGTCAAAAAATCATTTTTTAATTCCATTTTAATTAATAACTCAATTAAAGTTGTCTTTTTTTCAAAAATAAAATATCATACAAGCCATCTGAAACTAAATAATAATTGTTATATTTTATGATACTTAATTATTATTTATATATTTTATAGGTATTTTTTTTATCATTTTCTGAAGTTTTCTTATTCCAAAATTAATATAAAAATTACGAAATATTAATGGAATTGGGTACGTGACTGATTAATATTGAAATTGCCACAAGAGAGGTGTCACATGTACTGGCTTTGCCCTTTGCATGATTAACTGAATATCTGTTTAGAATAAATAAGAAAGATTATAAAACTAAACCAAATTAATTTTATATTTCTACTTAACTATCTATATCCATTAGAATGATGCACTACCTTCCGCGTTTCCAAGGATTTTGCGTTTTGCCTGCAGGTCGAAAGCACAGACGAGAGAGAACGAACAGCCCCAACACTGTGACGACGTCATTGAACGTGAGAGCATCGGCGATCCATTTCAGGCGAATCTTTCATTTTGAGGGCTTTAAAGTTCTAACTCTGGTTTATCTCTCTCCCTTCCTCACGTTCGGTTCTGTGATTTGATTTTTCTTTTCTTCGACGACTTAAGAAGTTGGTTAATTTACGGTTATGATGCGTATTTTGTATACCCAATAGTGTTCATGTGGTAATTTGGAAGTTATGTATGTCTATTGAAATGATCTTGATGATATAGCTTGTTGATTCTTTATTTATTTCAAAAGAGGTAGGAAAGTGGCCTATACTTTGCAAGATGTAGGTGCAAATTTATTTGTTGTACAATTGGATTCGTGATGATAACACAGTTCAATTCTAAAAAAATTTTCAAGTTCGGAAAGATTGTTGAAAAGCTAGCCTAGTACCCAAATGATTGCTGTCCATTCCACTTTGCCTGATTTATGAAAAGTGATAAACGATGTGTCGCGGTTCTACGGAAGCTTGAGAATCATAAAAAATTTATACAGAATATGATTCGTTGGTAGAAACTCGAAGGATATTGTTTTTGCGGTTGAAAACTATTGAGTTCCTTTTCTTTTTTCCCTTAACGTAAAGTTGATGCGCTTGTTATGGAATTGATCAATGATGCAGTTTTCATAAGCTTTGTAAATTCAATTGTACAGGAAGTTGCTTCAAATTTGAGTAACTAAACTTATTGTTTTTGTGCAGGTTTGCAATCTAAGATGACGCCAGTGTGCCCTTTTGTCAAAGCTGCTCGTCCTGATGATACCTCTTCAAAAAAATCTGGGGAAAATTCAGTTAAGCATCAAGCTGCGTCTGAGAGTAAGGCCAAAAAAGATTCTAACAACTCAGCCGGTGCTTCACCAAAATGCCCTTTTGGATATGACTCCCCAGCAAAAAAAGAGTCTGACAGCTCAGCTAGTGCTTCTCCTAAGTGCCCTTTTGGATATGACTCCCAAACATTTAAGATTGGTCCTCTTAGCTGTATGATATGCCAGGCACTCCTATTTGAAACTAGCAAATGTGTGCCCTGTTGTCATGTTTTCTGCAAGTATGCTTCCCATGGCTTTTCTTGCTTCTTTATTAACATTCTTATAGCTTGTTTCTGATTTTTTTCTCTCATTTTTTTTATATATTTGAAATTAGGGCATGTATATCACGCTTTAAGGACTGTCCGTTATGTGGGGCTGATATTGAGAAAATTGAGCCTGATGCTAATCTTCAAGGTACAGTTGATCGCTTCATTGAAGGTCATGCTAGGATCAAAAGGTCTATTAGTTCAGACAAAGGAGAAGAAACAGAAGAGAATAAGCCAGTTATATACGAGGATGTATCTTTGGAAAGGGGTTCCTTCTTAGTGCAACAGGCCATGAGGGTAAGTATGGCTTTTACAAAGATGCTGCTAAGCTGCATACTGTTATATTGCAATGGATTGAATGGAATTGCTCCTTAATTTTTTTTTTTTTTTTTTAGCGGCACAAAAGTGAGGAACTTTTCATATTGCTCCTTCCTAGTTTTCATTTATTTATAAGTTATTTATCATCATAATGGCAATGGACAAATGATGACAAAGGTGACAACGAATAATGACCTTAAATTATAATTACTCTTGCTGCATGCTATTCTGATTGCTGTGATTGGATGTTTTGGAAAGCATCATTGTGGGGACATACCATGCAGGCAATGGGGGGACATTGCTATGATGAGTTTTTCTGTATGATTTGGGCAATGTTATGCTGCCTGACAATGAGAAGTTTGTTGCTTGCAATTCAACTTTAGGCATTCCGTGCTCAGAATATAGAAAGTGCCAAATCAAGGCTCAGCCTCTGTGCAGAAGATATTCGTGGCCAATTAGAAAAGATTGGTAACACATCAGAATTATGCTCACAGCTTGGAGCAGTATTAGGCATGCTTGGTGACTGCTGGTGCGAATTCTATATTTTATCTTTCTGTCTCTTTTTCTTGTCCATATGCTTCTTATATCACTTGATTTTTTTGGCCAAACTCTTATCTTCCTGTTTGTGTACATATCAATCTGCTTTGTTTTCCTTGCATTCTGATTTTCACCTTTCCATTTCTTCTTTACTTGGATTTATTTGTAGGATATTTTCACTTTCTTCCATCGGACTATCTTTCAAAATTGATACCTTAAGAAGGATGAAATTTTGTACAAGTATAAAATATCAGGCAGAACTCCCATTGATTGAGGAAAAACAAATAACGATAGTTAGAGGTATGAATGCATGTCTGAAAAATGATGAAATGATTCTAATAAGAATACTTCTTTTTTTAATAAAAAACTCAGCCAAGGCCTGGAAGAAGTTACAAAAGAAATGAACCAAAAATAAACTAAAGCCTAGATAGTGCTTTGCAAATCTGGAAAGAGACTGAGTCATCCTTGGTGAACCTCATCGACCACTTTAATTACATGACCAGACTGATGAGTATTTTTGGCCATAAAATTGGCACAGGAGATACATTCATGAAAAGCATGGTGTAGTTCCACTTCTCAGTTATTCTAACAGGAATACTGGATGGAATTAGACATAGACCAAAAGTAGTAGTAAGTAGTGCTTCTGTAGTACTTGGTTCAAGGCTGCGTTATTTTGTTTTTCTCAAGTATCTTTGCAACTAAAGGCCCATGAATAGCTTTATTGAAGTGTGGACATAGTACAAGCTCAATATGCCTTATGTTGAAATTTCATTTGATTATGTATGATTAAAGCACCAACGATTGAACTCTTAACTACTGGGTTACAATGGCTTCAGTACTATGCCAAGGATTATATCAAGTGGAATCTTATATTGTTATGTGAAGGCCATGAATAGTTTCAGTTATTTGCTAACAATTATCATCTTCGCACCTACCTCTGCCTTCCAAATGAGTTTGCCCCCTTCTTTTTGGGTTTCATTATTCGAAAAGACAACCACTATTTTAACAATTTATTTGTGATGGTAGCCCAAGAAGATTCCTGTAAACTTCCGCCAGTAATTTGGGATTTTATTATTATTATTATTATTATTATTATTATTATTATTATTATTATTATTTTGTATGAAGAAATGAGGAGAATTTGGCCAAATGAATGAGTGATTTGTAAAAGTCATATTGTTCTATTTTATATTGGTAGGTTAGTATATAATCAAGCACTCTCAAGTTTCAACGTGTTATGTGAACTGCAGAAGGTAGATAATTAAGATAGGAAATTCTGCTGAAAGTAAAGAACGAAGAACAATTTCAAAACTCAGATTAAATGATAAAACCTGCTATTGGACTATAATAATATTTTAAAAGCATCCCCAGTATCTGTGATTGACCATGTGAAATAAATTGAACTGCTTGTTGAGTTCCCAGAAGAGCAGGTAAAGCTTGTTTGAAAAGTTTGGTGAAATTGATCAAGTGGTGTTTGTAGTATCATTGAAAACTATGGCTATTCCTGACCCTTTGCCCAACCACTTACCCTTCTTTGCCAAAAAAAAAAGCTTGATGTCATGGTTTTGAAATATTTTTAAATGACAGTCATTGTATCTGGAACATGGACAGCACTAGATTATTAAAAAAGCAATGCAAGCCTTCTTTCTGTGTATAGTGTTTACCTTGCCTTATAGAAAAAAGGACATTATTCCATGACGTCAAATGCTTATTAGCGGCCAATTGTGAGAGAGATGCATGCTGACTTTATATCTTCCGCAGCCGAGCTATGGGGGATGCTAGTTCTTCAGTTGCTTATTTTGAAGAAAGTATTGAATTTCTCTCGAAGTTGCCAAAAGATGACTTGGAGGTTATTTCATTAGAACTTTTTTTAAGACCATGTTTGTACACCACATAATCATCTTTTGTTAATTTTATTTTTTAATTTATATTTTTAAACTCTTCTCCTGACAGATTACACATACACTCTCTGTTTCTCTGAATAAAATTGGAGATCTTAAATATTATGATGGAGATTTAGAAACTGCAAGATCCTACTATTTTCGGTCTTTGAATGTTCGGCGTGATGTAGTCAAGCATCATTCAGATGTTCCATCCCAGGTTGGTTACTGCTCTGTCTATATTGAAATTGAGCTATGAAAGATTAATACAATGTCTAAATTGCTTTTGGTGCATTCTTGGCTTTGCATCTATTGACTTGCCAAAATATGTTACATGGATGTTCTTGATTAGAAATTTGCATCATACTTCATAAAAGATAATAATCCCTGGGATTGTGAAGGATTTCTGGATTCCATACACTGCTTTTCAAGGGGTATATGCTGTGCATTTAGCCATTTACTGACAATAAAAATTGAGTTTACATTAGATGTTCATTTCATGGTTGATTTTTTTCCTTTTTTTTTTTTGGGGGCCCAAGGCATATGAACGGATGCATTACATTTATTAGGCATTGGCATTGATTTGTGTGTTGCATCCGATACTCTACTGTTATAGAATTAGTGAAGAACTCAGTCTGCAACCTTTTTTCATTATAGGTAGTTATATAGCTTGTCACAGACAATTATGTATTGCGCAAATACCTCTGCAAACAGCAGGTGAAAAAAGCAAAGATATCTGGCAACTATGGGCAACATTGGCCCTAACAAATATTCCCGAAAGGAGTTTTATTGAGCACGGAGACTTTGCAAATTGAATGTGTTTCAGTTTCATCTTTGCTTCCTTAAATTAAGATATCAGATTCCTGGGTGTTCTCTGCTGGTTTGAATTAGGTTGTTAATTATTTATGGAAGGGAAAGTGTACATGGTCTTAGCCGTCACAAGGGTATAATAAGTTTTTGCTAACTATACTACGTTTGGTCCCCTAGAAATAGCCAAAGAAGCTGGTGTAATCCCTTTTTAAAATAATCATAAAATATATTGGCATGTTTGAATGCTGACCGGCAAAGGTACACTTTCATCTGAGAAGAGAAGTATAATCCAAAGAATCTCGGATTAATTTTAAAAATATTCTTTTTCTCTGTATCCATATTCTAAAGAAGCTTTGGTGATGGTAATTTTGGTTGGCGGTTGACATTTCCATCATTTCTTTATTCTAAGTTTGATGGTAAGACTGAATATTTAGAAGTTTTATCGCCCCCCCCCCCCCTCCAAAACTGCTAACCAATGTAAAACCGCTCAATTTTTTCAAGTGACCATTCAATTTAATAAAAGGATTACATCCAAACTGTTGCTATAGATATATATGTTTCTGCACCTGAACTGGTTGATGTTGATGTCAACACATTATTTGTTATATCATTCAGGTTCTAGATGTTGCTGTTTCTCTTGCAAAAGTGGCAGATGTGGACAGGAATCTGGGAAACGAAAGTTTGGCAACGGATGGATTTCAAGAAGCTATTGACTTATTGGAGAAGTTGACACTGAAATCTGAAGCCAGTGGCCTTGAGCAACGTGTAAGTTTTTATCTATTTGTCCTGCTATCTTTTATTATTTTGGATAAAACGTTATATTTATATTTTAGCCAAAGAAAGAAATACTTTATCGTATAATTTTTTTCCATTTACCAATATAATACAAAAGTCTCTTGTCTTCCATCCTTACCCCATTCCACCAAATGATCACATTTATGTTTTTCTATTCTAAAAATAGGGGAGAATGACAATAAAAAGTCCCAAAATTGAGAATTTGTAACAGTTAGATTCCTGATAAAGTTTTTTGAAAAATAAGTTGCAAATATTGATTCAAATAGTTACAAACAAGAATCATAATTATAAATTGAGAGTTATATTTAGAATTTAAATGTCTTATTTGCAATTAAAATTCCTAAATTTTTAACTGTCTGAATCAATATTTACAATTGATTTTATAGAAAAAATTTTTGGGGACTTAATTGTCATAAATTTATTGTTTTGGGATTTTAATGTCATTGTCCCTCCTAATAGAGAATGACGCCAAAATAAAAAGAATCTCACATCTTGCTAATTATCATTTTTTTTCTTTAAATCTCTTTAAGAATACATTATATTCATGCATGTTTATCAATAGAGAGGATCCAGGTTGCTATTTCCTCACCACTAAAGTTCTTTTTCACTCTTATATCTCCATGTTAGATCCTGAAATAACTTACTTTATTCTCTTTTCTTTTATAGCGACTTTCGGTGCTAGAGTTCCTCAGAAGCCAACTTGCAGATAAACAAGAACAAGCCGAGGCAACAGTCTAAGATCATACATACATATATCTTCCCCATGAGAAGGCAGGCTTCAGTTTCGGTTGCATAAATGTGTTTCTGTAAGCCACATGCAAAATCTGTAAAATAAGCTCCACGAAACAGAGAAGATCCTCAATTCTCATCTAGGAAGAAGAGCTTTCAGGGTAAAAGCTATGTATTTCAGGCCATCCCTAAGTCGCTTTATTAGATGCCACTTCTGAGATTCCACTCATCATGTCTATATCCTTCTGTTTCTCACCTTTTTTTTTTAATCGTTTCTCTTCTTAGTGTACAAGGGACAAATTGTATTTCGATTCTCTGTGGTTAATGTATTAACGTGTTTCTGAAGTGTGGTTGAGTGTGACACACTATGCGAGTTGCTGTGGAGCCCACTTTCTCTCCTTTTTATTCGTATCTCTCTTCTCTCTCACGTTATCGGTATATGTTAGATGCATGTAATCTTAGAGGATCTTCACTTGGACAAGTTATTCTAGTTGGGTTCTTCTCTTCATTACCATGAGTGATTGAGTGAGTAAAATGTAATGTGTAAGTTGCAGTATGCTATTTTGACGTTGAAGCTGGGAACAGAAGTTATAGCTAGTTGGAAGTATATGGAATATTGTATAGTGATCATTGTGCCCTTGATAGTCCTCTTTGGTAAGGATGTTAACATGTTCAGTTTGACTTGATTTTGAAGAAAAGTCAGAGCAAATCAAACCAATTGATTTACTATAGTCTGTGACCTATTTGGTTTTTTTTTTTTTAATTGGTTTTGATCAATTTATGACAGTTTGGTTTAGTGTGATCAGTTTGAATTGGTTTAGAACATTCTTACTATTTGGTTAAGGATGTCTCTACAGCTGTTCTCGACATCCAAATGGAGCATTATGCTACAGATTCCCTTTGAACATTATTCTAAAAGCTTGTTTGGTTTTCTTGATGTTTTTTTTAAAAATTATTTTATAGATCAATTCTTTAAAATTGTTTTTCAAAAAAAAAGTAAAATGAAAATTTGTTTGATTTTGTTAATTAAAAAATGTTGATAATGATAATGTGGTCATTGGTGATTAATGGGGATGATTTAAGATAATTGTTGGTAGGTAATTTATAATAATTAAGTGTAGTGTGTACCTAAAAATGAAAAAGATAAAAAGAATTCTAAGACGTTTTCCTTCTTTTTTTTTTTTATAAATGAAACATAAGAATAGTTTAAAAATATTTATATTCAAAATGCTTATTTAAATGATTTTTTTTATTTTTTTAAAATAGAGAATAAATTTTGGAAAATAAAATCAAACAAGACCTCATATTGTAATTTTCTATAAAATTTGTCTATGTTGTTTTATATACTTCATATGCTTATTCTAAAATAATTTCTTTACATGTTTCGCTTGCAAACAATTGCTTATAATTTATATTCAATCAAGTTATGACAGCCATTCTTTACATGTTTCAATTGTCATTAAACATGTCTTTCCCCTTTTGGAACAATCAATTAGACGGTGAAGAGCAGTAAATTTTTATTTTAACAAACAGTGAAAAAAAATCTACTTACAATACTTTTATAAGAGATTTTGTTAACAAAAATTTTAAAACTATATGCTAGTCTAATCTAACATCAATTGTATTAATATTTTGTTAACTATTTTAAAAAATTTGGCTAAAAAACTATTTTCAAATATTATTTCAGACAAAATTTTTTGCAGAACAACTATACTAAACCTGTAATCTATCGAAGTCGGTATACATAAGTTCATATGAGCATTGTTAATGATATTTTTTAATCAGAGGAGTACCTATAGTCCTTTAGATATTTAATTTTTTTTAAGAATTTGTATGAGTGATTTGGATTTATCTTTTTGGAGATGCTTTCATTGAAAACCAAAAGTAAAATGCAGAATGCAAATGATCTTTCAATTAAGTTTTTTTCCTTCTTTTTTTTAATAACCATTCAAATCAAAAGTTTTAAAAAATTAAAATTTATATCATCTCAAACCAATAGAAATTATCCAAGTTTTTCAATCGATTTTTTTTTTTGCTACCAAAATTTTCAATTTATTATATTGAACAATAACAAACTTTATTTTATTAGGTGAGGTCGAATATATGAATTGTATTATATCATTATACTTTATTAGCAAGACTTTGAGAATATTATTAACTGAGAGATCTCTTCTAATTTATCAATTGAACATTTAAATTCCTATTAAAAGAAATATCTATTTAATACCCATTGTACTTCTAATATGATTATTTTTAATAAAAAGATATATTTCAATAAAAAAGATACAAGAATATCTTAAAGGTAGACTTGTCATGTGTGTGTGTTTGTGAGTTAGCCCCAAAGGAGGCCATTGATAAAGTAGATGCCAATTTGATGAAAAGGCACTGAAAAAAAAAGGGAATAAAGAATGGAACTTCACATGGGGTTATTTTTATTCGACTATAAAATATATAAATTAGAAACACATTATTTAGGACTAACTAAATATCAATGATGGAACTTCTTATAAATTTATATAAATGTATTGTTGGTTCCAAGTC